TTATTCCACGGAGCTGATGAATAGGGATCATTTACCACTGTTCACTCTGGGTATTCTCAAGGGGCATTATAATTGTCTTCATTCTACTGAAGTACTCCCAAGACTCTTTCTCGTAATCTAATGGTACCTCAATTACCCATATCACTTTCTGAAATTTCCTTAAAATCAGGATTGTCAGTGCCTGATTTTCACCACAGGAGTCTAGAGTAACAGTTAACCATTGTGTAAAGTCACAGCATAAAACATTATAAATCCTCAGGAAAAGTACACTTCTTAGATACCCAGAATGAACCCATTGTTTCTAGCCTGTGTCCTAAATCAATGTGAAACCTCTTCCCTTCATTAGCTGTTAATGACAAAAACACTGCACAAGTTCTTTATATTCATACACAAAGCACATATTTCTATCTATCTAATTGGGCCTTTTCATCTGTCTGTCAATTGAGGTTATATGATTCAGCCCTTGCTGGATGGATTAATAATTTCTTATTCTCATATGCTATTATTAAAATTTAGAGGACTATTAAGCCAGTAAAGATGAGTTTGCAAGTACGTGAAAATAAAAAGGATTGATGGTGGTTATGGTTCCAGAACATCTTCTAAACATCTATATTATTTATTTCTAGCCTCATGAGGAAGAAACTGAGTTGAAGAACTCCTCAGGTGAGAGCTGCGGCTTTCTTCTTTGCTGCAGAACTTCCCCAAAGCAAATAGGGTCCTCACACCATGGTTTTCCCCCAGGGAGAAGTATTACTCCAACCACCTGGGAAGGAACATCCTGAAATTCCCATCCAATTAGACTCCTGCCTGGGCGTGTGGGTGGCAGAAGCAATATCCTCTGCCAAGTAAAGCAGGGAAGTGCTAACTGAACTTCTTCATGTGTTCCAGAGCTTTCCCAAAGCTTTCACATTTCAAAATGAGTCAGCAAATCCTAAACCCATTTTCCTCATTTGACCACTACAGAAATGCTGGAAGTGAATTAAATACTTACTGAGATTGGAATGAGAAGCAGAAGACACTACCTTCTTAGTTCAATATGATTATGACTTGTCAGAAAATCAAATTTTTTTTTGATAATTAATTGTTTTGTAGCAGCTACTGCTAAAAAGCAACAACAAGACTATCCACTATGCTACTCAAATTCTAATTTTTTAATACACTAGAATCCAAAAAATTCAGAGGTCTTTCTCAAGGAGAAAATCCTGCAGGAAAGGGCATTTTGATAGAAAGGGAGAATAAAAAATAATTCCCTGCATTTTAAGGTAAGATGTCTTATTTGTGGTAAACATAAAACAGTGATGAAATACGACATTCTCATGAAACACAGTCTCAGGATTTTCACTCATAAAACAACATTCTTCGAGCAGTTTATCAAAGGAACTTGGTACAAAAAGGAATAAAGGTAGCCCAACCACAAATTCAGCTAATACTGCATTTAATTTTCCGAGGAAAAAAAAAGATTCCAACCAAATCTATTTTGTTATAATTAGTGACTTACATTTTTAACACAAACTCCAGGGCAATTTTTAAAAGCCTAGAAATATAAAATAAGAGGTGAGATTCAGCAAATGTTGAATTTAGAGCAATATCCTGAGAATGTGGTTTTTTTTTTCTGCCCAACTCTAAGTGCTAGTTGCCCAGTTACAAGAACTGGCACCCACTGAGGGATTTTTCACTCATTCAATAAACATTTATGATGAACCCTTTATATACCAGGCAGTGGGATACAGCCCTAAATAAGAGAGACGTGGTCTCACCCTCAAGGAGCTCATAGGCTGGCAGATCAGGCAAATATGAAGTACAGGCAGGATGTCACACTGTGCCAGGAATCTTGTGAACTGAGTTAAGGCATCAGACAACTGCTCCCAGCTTTCCCAACCAAATGCAAGCTCAGGGCAGATGCTTAACTGAGAGAGAACTAAACAAGACATAGTCCTATCTCGTTTTTTCTGTTTGTGCTTTAGCTGAAATGCCTGAGGGCTAATGTAATAATCTATCACAAGATTATTATTCTGGTTCTCATTTATGTGTATGGAACTGGTCATTTCTTTTTTTCAAATCAGAATCCTAAGTTTTGATGTTTGCACCCTGACCATTATTTATTTTTTGTCACATCTAAATGAGTTATTCTATTAAATTAATTAAATATTCAAAAAGTGTTGCTTCGTAATAGACACAGTTTATGCTGTTTCCCATACACTTGAATTAATTAATTTAATGAAGACTTTAAATTTGGCAAACATATCTTTTATTTTTACACATTTTTAAATTCAATTTTACAAAATGTAATGATAGCGACCCAGTACTGAATACCTACTGCGAACTAAGTGGGGTTTTTTACATAATTACTTGTAAACCCGCCCTCCCACTACAACCCTGCAAGGTAGTATTGGTCCTATCTCATAGACAGGGAAACTGAGGTGCTGAGAAGTTAGGCGAGTTTCCCAGCACCGCACAGCCAGTTAGCACAAACCAAGGAATGGAACCTCTGATTATCTGACTGGTTAATTTATTCTCTTAAGCATCCTAAATTGAGCACAGAGTCCTCACCCTCCAGGGTGCATGCAATAGAATTACTCATTGTGCAACATTATAATGATGTTATAATAATGCAGTTAAAGCTTTCAAGCAACCAGAGCCCAATAAAACGTCTACGGTGCAATAAAACATCCGATTAACCAGTGAAATGAAATGTGAAATAACTTCTCAGGTAAATGGCAAGTAAACGGAGGGTGTCTAACTATGAAGTCTTTGCTAAGATGAGTAAACCGCATCAAGCATTGGTACCAGTAACCTCCAAGCCCAGCTGTATGCAACTCTCCAAAAAGAGGGAAAATTATCTCAAACTAAGTGGGGGTGGGCCTGGAAACTCATAAAGGAATGCTGGGGTCAGGGAGAGCTGTGTTTTGTGTGCTGTTCTATCTTCAGTGGAGCTGGACCTACAGCAGTCCCACCTCATCACTGCCCCCAGGTCACCCGCTCAGAGGGATGGTCCAATTCTAAGAGGAGAGACTAACACATATGATCAGATAAAGCCGCATCACTACCACAATCACTTTGCAAAAATCATCAGATGGCCTCAATAAAACATGGAGAGCTTTATGAGTGAACAGGAAGGTAACCTTGAAAGTCTAAAATGAAATGCATACGGATCCAATTTCTCTGCACTGACTTCCTAAAAGCTCTCCTCTTTGTTGCATATCCAAGTGAACAACCACAGCCAGCTGACAGCACCCAGAAAGCTCCCACCGGCAAGCTGCAGACTGTAAACGAAACTGAGATCCACCCGGTGACTAAGTTTCCTAAGGTGTCTAGCGCTCTTAGGGGCTGTCACTCCCCTTCTAGTGCAGCGGCGACACAATACAAGAAATTTGCTAAAACCGTTCGCTGGGCACTAATGTTGGGGAATCGCTTAAAAAGAAACGTCACTTTCGGCTTGGGGGCAGCATGCTCGCCATTCAATGCCCTACTGGTTCCTTAACGCGCCTATGATTAATATTGGTACTCAGGAAAGAGAACTTCTTCTGACCTTGAGCGTGCGCGCTAAATAAATTACCTCAGAACGAACGTGGTGAGATCTCATAACAGCATCTGGGGAGAAAAGAGAAAAACGAGACTTCATTTAACTCCTTGTTCTTCACCTGCCGAGTCACTAGTGACTCACCTGGGGGACAAGGGTCGGGAAGGCACATTCCAGACGCCTTGAATTCAGTGGGGACACCCTGTAGGGCAGGGAAGTTACTAGGCCATCAGTCTCTAGGTGATTTCTCCGCGAGAAGTTTCGGGGAAAGTTCTGGCGTAGTTGGGGAGCCCCGAACTCTCCACGCCTTACTTTCCTCCCCTAAGCTCCAGCGATGGAGGGGTGACGGAAGGCTGCCGCAGCCCGGGACTCTGCTCAATTACCCTTCGGGCTTTAGGAAACTGACACTAAGAATTTGTACCCCTTCCTCCCCTCCCTGCTCTCTGCATCGCCGTGGTTATCCCGACCCGGGAGACTGGAGGAAGAGGGTGAGGGCAAAAAGGGCAAGGGACGTTAAATACACAAACGCATCAGCTTGGGGAGCGGGCAACGAGGGCGCAGGGGCGGCAGCGCAGACGGGAGCGAGCCGCGCTTCACTCTCCAAATCCGCTTAACCTCCATCCGAGCCCGAGGAAGCCCGTCGCGGCGTGTCTTACCTCGGCTCCTTGAACGACCCGAAAAGACCGATTTCATCGGATGCCTCCCTTTCTGGAGATTGCGGTGCCAGCAGCAGAAGAAGACGATGGTGGCGATGGTGCCCAGCAGAAGCAACAAGAGGAAGAGGGCACATTGGATGCTGTAGGGTCTCAGCAGGACGAGGAACGCCGCGGCGATCATGGTGCGGGCGAGGCGGGGGCGGCTCGGCGGCGGGGCTGGAGGGCGGCGGCACAGGCACCCGCGCGGGGCGCACGCCGGAGCGGCGGGCACGGGCGAGCGCGGCTCAGCGCGTCATGCCCGGCGCTCGCGGCCCTGCGCCCAGCCCAATGGCTGCGCACCCCGCGCCACCCGCGCTAAAAGAGTGATCCGGGCTGCGGGGAGCGCTGGCCATGACTCAGCAGACGGCGACGAGGCAGGGACTTGGCGGCGGGGAGCCACCCCCTCCCTCCCCACGGCCCCCGCCCCCGTCTGTGCGCAGCCCCTGGGC